TCTTTCACCTCGGTCCCGAGGTGCAGACGCGGCCCTCGGTCTCATATACGTACCCCCCCCCCCCAACAACCTTCCCCAACCGCACCCGGACTGGTCTAGACTTACGTGGTGTGACACGAGATCATATATACATAATACATAATATACATTATAGGTACATACATAAGTATACGGACATACGGTATATACACCTTTATGTACGCGCGTACATAATGTATAGTAAGTACGTTTACGGCGGCAATCATTATTCATGTCGTCTGCCGCCCGAATGAGCAGTTCCCGCCCTCGAAATGCTATTTACACCGTTGCAGTCGACGACGGCACATTACGACCAAGCATATTATCGTATACACATGCGGTCGTATTATATACTTGTGTTATTTCGAGTGTCGAAATGTAGGTACTTACATGCATTATATAGTATACCAATATACCTACACGGAGGAACCTCCATAGATCGAGAGGTCGGAGACGAAAAAAAAAACGATTCGAGTCATAAAAAAAATTTATTTCGTCAGACGACGCCGAGACTTTATTTATTTTATTTGAGCGTGTATACTTACACTACCCTGTAAATATGTTCAGACGTACATGAGGGTATACGTTAAAATTTTCAAAAAAAAAAGTGTTCCATAAGGTACCCAGTTGTAATTAAAAAAATATTTTAACTCATATAATATGACGCGTATGACGTAGGTATACCTATATATATTTATTTTATCTTGGTTTTAGACCACTGTTCTTCGAAGAAATCGGTCAGAGCTATTTGTTTTTTATTTTTTTATGCTGATCTATCTGTAAAGTTTTCAATCATACCGAGTGCAGAAAATGCAGGATAACACGGAAATTATTATTGGTTCCCGGGTCAAATAAAGTGTACGAATGAGTTTCCGATAAAAGTTATAGGTAGGTACTTATCATTTTGGGTACAACTGTTCGAATTTATACCCTATGTACAAATCGGTAATCTTATGAAATTTGAATAGGTTTTACGATGTCTGGGAAATATTATATTATTATAATAATAATATAGGTATCTAATAAATTGGTATTTTTTAGTAAAAATATTATTATATACCTATTTTATTATTAATAACATTAACAAATACATGTATGTAGCGAAAAAGGAAATTGTTGTTGGTTGAATATATTTTGTAATATACTATAATATCATAATAATTTGAAAAGTTAATTTAATACAGTTGTATATTATTGTTATGAATGCTCATCGGAACCGATTCGTATGCTACCTGTAGAGTGTAGAGAACTGCAGGGAACCAATTCTGTAATTGGGAACCAACTCGTATAGTAGTCGCAGGAAATAATATCTCGTCTGGAATATCTGGTTGTTCTCGTATATAGGTATTTGAGAAATTTCTGTAGATCTAATGCCTGGGCAAAAGTAATTAAAGGTGATCCCACATTATCGTCATCACTATCCGACTTCTCACCACATGACTTGTTAGGCTCTCCTTGGAACGTCCTATTATTGAGGGTTTCATCTCTCGTCGTCTGTAGGATAGTACGTTGTTATAACATCAGAGTCCACCTCGACAAATCCCAGCCAAATTCTGTTGGTATCGATTACAGTCTATTGGATTTTCTTCTTCGACTGGTTCTCCTTCCATCTATTTTTGAATTTCTTTAAGACAAATAAATCAAGAACATGGTTAGCAGTAAATAGTAATAGAATATAAAAATAATATAGGTACCTACCTCTTGTAAGACTTACTTTGGAGAAACACTATGCTGTATAATCACCTAACCTAACCTAATCAGTAACCGATAGAGATGTTATATGTTTTTATAACTATTTGATCCATTTGCTGCAGTTTTTATATTATATTTAGGTAGGTAATGCATTAAAACGACAAAATACCATTCCTATAAATTGCTCTAGATTCACGCAAAAAGAGTGTTGGGATACACAGTGACAGTGATAATCAACGAAAATCAAACTTTCATCCACTATAGTTAAAACCTTTTTTTTTTTTATCAGAGACGAACGTCCAATATACGTAGACAGCCACAGACCACAGTGAATAACATCGCCGCTTTTTATTATACGAGCATATTATATAGGCGTCATTACGACATAGGTATAGGGAGCAAGGTATACCTATGAATATCGCTACCACTCTAATTTTATTATTTTATTCACCGACTGCTCCCAGTGTTCATTAGACCACGTGCAATCGAATTAAAAATAATATTATGATGCAAACTATACCCTATGATTTCAATCCAAATGATGTTCCTGTGTACAAGTATAATACTATGTGACTCAGTGACGGTAACGATTTCGTATTTTTTTCTCGTGAAATGTCTTTGTCGTTTCGATTTTTCAATCAGGAGAAATTTTATACTTTTTCGGTTCCTGTCACATTATTGACACCGACAATGACTGTAACACGTTCTTTATTATTTTCCCCTCCGTAAAAAGTACTCCTTTTGAATTTTAAAGTTATGTCTGGTAATATTTCTCAATTTCACATAACCATATCTTGCTTGAAAATTAAAATATTGAAAAATCTCAAACACTTTAGCACAGATAATGTTCTTACCTAAAAGTTTGATAATAAGTCAATTCACACTAATATCAAAACTAACAGCACACTATTGAAACTAGTGAATGAAAAATTGCTATGTCGTACATGTCTAAAACGGAGACAAGTGCTTAGGTAGGGTCATCTATATATAGTAAATACATACCTAGCTAGATTAAAAATGCATGAACTTTTTTGATATTAATTAGAAGAATGACGATCTCATCACCTGTCTCATTGAGCCATTGACACACCACCACTGCAATTAAGCAAATACAGCAGTGGCTCTCAACTCTTTTTTGCCTTTGGTATTTTAAAAAAAAGTAGTCTTCATATTTTTCCTACAATTTGTCAACATATTATGTTGTGTCTTTTACATCCTCGAGTTGAAGCCGTTAAATAGGAAGTTAGGAAAGTAGTTCAATAAGTAGGCATGTTAAAATTAAAACACACAAATATGCAATTGAATTACTTAAATAATTTATTGTATTTGCAAGTAATCTGCTTGAACTTCACAAATACGCAAATCTATGAATTAAAGAAAACAAAAATAAATTACTAGTGTAATTTTTTGTTTTAACATATTTCTTCAAATCTTCATTATTCATTTATTACAATTTTTTTTGTATCAATACGCTAGTGTTCATAAAAGTAACCATAATAGGTATTGATATAAATGATTTGGCTGACTAAAATTTTTTCTTACTGGCCAATTTATGTAACGCTTATAAAATGTATTATTGTTATTATGGTAACTCTTCCCCCCAAAAAATATATTCCATGATACCTTACAGAGAAAAATATCAAGTAGGCTGCTACGTTTTATTTTTTGGTTCTCTTATAAAAACAAAAAAAAAATTAAGCATATTTTTCTCACAAAATAGAGCATATATACTTCCCACCAAAAAAATTAAAGCTTGAAGGTTTTGTTTCAATAACTTGATGGTAAAGCGCGCTAGGGTAAATGGCAACATATCACTATAAATTCAGAAAACTGTGTATAATATTCATATTTTTTTTTAAAAATAATATCTCTATTGACTATTTACTATTTAGTCATTTGCTACACAATTTTTAAAATTATTTTATTAGTTTTATTTCTTTTCTGTGCCCTGTAGGGTTAAGTCATCAATCTTTAAAGATCCCACAAGTTTCTTGCAGTAATTATCTTACAACGAAAATTAAATTGAATAAATAAATATTTAAAAAGATAATTTTAAAACCTAAAGTATTGTTATAATTATCACAATCATATAATTTTCAAAACATTGTGCCAATTACTAAAAAAAACTTTTACATGAAATATGTATATAATGGTAAGAAAAGTATAATTTATTTTTAAAGAAAGCTATTATTGCTTATGATTTCAGAAAAACTGTATTTCAATATTTCAATTTTAAATAATATATTTAACCTAAATAGAAAACATAGTACAATTACCTATTAGTAGGGTTTGGATTTAATGGTAATGTAATATAAATTAATATATATATATATATATATTCAATATAATAATTAATAAAAAAACATTTAAATTGTCAAAAAAGGAAAAAAAGCATTTGGTTTATATTTAAATAGTTTGTATATTGTATACCTATTTAACTAGTTTGTATTAAAAAAAATTCACCAAGTAGCATGTATTTAGATAAACTGTCTTCAGTAAGACATTGACGAACAATTTTGAATCTATTATTTGCGCATTATGAACATATTTTAATATAAAGATAGGTAGTATGAGTACGTTTATAAACATCAAATTAACTGGCCATACCAAATATCTGATAAATATCAATGATAATAAACTCATTAAAAATAATTGACAGACGAGTAGACGACAATGCAGTCTTCAGAACATTTAATCAATTTGTACCATTCATGTTAATACATATGTCGTGTATAAAACTATCAAATCAATTAAAATTAAACACAATAAAGGCATTTATGAGTGGAAAAGGTAAAAAGACATTTATAAGTAAAAAAGGAAAAATAAATAAATACATTCATCATCTTACGTCATATTAAATGACACATTTTTATATAAAAATTATTTCTCTATTATTATTATTAAAAAAAAGCTTTTGCCTTCAAATCCGAACCCTACATATATTAGTTTTAACTTTGTAATTATCTGAGAACATTATTATTATATTTTATTTTTTTATTAGTAAATAATAATAATTTTAATTTAATATTGGGAAAAAAAATTTAAAAACAACAAGTTATTGCTTACATAATTTTACATAATTTTCTATGATAAAAATATATAAAACTATTAATTATTTTACATATTTTAATAATAAGATTAGAATTGGAATATCAATTAAAAACTATACATCATAAAGCTAACATTATCTTCTTGCAACTTGAAATATAATCTATATTGTTGAAGTAATATTTCCTTCTGCAATTATATTCATTGACAATATAATTTTTAATGTTCATAAAATATAATCACTATTTTTCTTCTTCTGATGTTTCATCTGAAAATAAACTTTTAAGTAAGTACAGCCAAACAAAATATCATAATTATTTTAATTTTAAAAGGTTAAAAAAGATTAAATAAATTATGTTTATACCTATATAATTATAATTATACTAGGTATACATAAAATACTAATTTAAATAACCTTTTACAAAAATATTAATATTTACAAGTTTTTTGAACATTACCTTCAGTAAAATGTATACGATTCGTTTTTATTGGCACATTACTTTTATTACCAAAGTTAAAGCGTATTTTTGATTGTTTGATTAAAATATTTGTCTTGGGTTGTTCAGGTTGATTAAAATTAGTTGAAAACCCAAGTCCCATCTTTTCATCTCTAACATCCATTGAAATCTAAAAAAAAAAAATGCAATAAATATATTTGTGTTATGATATAATGCATACAAATTGCAATGTATATTAACTATTCAAATATGTTACCATCAAGACAAACTACTAATATTAACTTCCAAAGCTTGCCCTATAAAATACATAAATAATGAAGCTATTTATAGTCTGTATTTAAACTTGTATTTAAAATGCAACACAATATCAAAATTATATAATAATTATAAAATTAATATAAAATAACTTTTGGTTTTATTTTTTTTCTATTTAGGAACATTTAGTATAATAATTCAAACTAATATTGAACCAAATAAGTATACAAATAGCAGATGATTATTATTATGAATTTTTTTTTTTCTTAATTTGATAACTTATTTTATAATAAGACATGGGTGTAAATAGTCAAAATTCTGGGTGAGCAAAAAGCAATTATCCACAAACAATTTGCTATTTAGTTGGTTTTATTTCTAATATTATATTTATTCAGGGTAGCAAAAGTACTTCTCGTATCCCTTAGTGACGGCTATGTAATTAAATATATATTAAAATAAATAATACTGTAAGGGCCAGTTGTACCGTATACGGTTAAGCTACGATTAAGCTTAATCAGCTGATAACAGATATTTAACCGGGCAAAATCAGCCGATTAAACTCCGGTTAACTTAAGTTCGAGATGATACAAATGGCTCTAAGAAGTTTAAACTTTTAAGTACCTAATCTCAACACTAGGTATATAGTTTAATCAGTCGAATAAATAAGCCGATCATTAAGACATGTACATGTGCGTTTTACGATTTAAAATAGTAAAACAGTTATTATAATAAAGAAGTTTACTGAGAAACTGGAAATGGATTAAGGGTATTATGCATAAATAGGGTATATATGGTAAATATATATATAATAGGGTATTAAGCATGTTTGCTTAAGTAGTGAACAAAAGCATTCTATACATAACTAATTGCAAATGTACTGAAGATGAATATTTTATATGAGAAACATTTCTGCAAGTCCAGACATAGACCACATTCAAGATAGATTTAACATCTTAAATAGTGTTTACAACTTCTGGATATTATACAATATTCATTACCATTGTCTTTAATATGTATTAATAATGGAATATAATTTAGGTATTACAACTATGCAAATTTATATTTCCCCAATATACTAATGTATATGTCACCGTAAAATATTAAAATCAGTCAATGTTAACCGAGGTGTTAACATATTATCTTACACAATAATAACAATGCCTGATGGCCAATTCCATCAGGAAAGTACACTAATGACTAGTAGTTATAAACAATAACTAATCAAAGCAGTCAAAGTTGAAAGAAGTTATGATATCATTGAGATTGACTAGGCATTATTTAGTTCAACTAATAAATCTAAGAAAATTTTAATTTAAAATCAAATTTTTTTTTTATTTTATTCTGTAACCTAAAATAACAATTCAAATTTTCAATGAACAAAATTTACCAGCTGCGTACATTATTTAGTTTCATATTAATTATTTTTGTATTCATATATTTTAACTAATCCATATTTTTGTTAGCTACTTGCACAACCTTACTACTCTTGGACTCATTTATTTTCCACTAAGAATTGTTTGAAAAGCAAGCAGTAGGTCTCTGCATCAATTAAATTATTTTCAAGTGTATGATGTATGTTTTGAAAAATCATTGACTATAACAAAAGTGTAGATAGCGAAAAAAAACTAATTATTATGTGCATTAACGAGTTTACAACATTGATTACCTACAAATAAACATCAATGTTAATAAACTGAAATTATTTAAGATTGGCTAAAAATTTCAGAATTATTTATGATACCTAGTATTAATTTATCATTCTATAAAATATCACCATTGTCAGTAACATATATTAGTATATTTAAATTAATAATGTTTAAATATAGTAGGTATATATATTATATAATACATATTATTTTATTTTAAAATACTTACAGGTTCTTTAATTCCAGAATTACTAGATCCCAAAGATTTTCCAGGTGTCCAACCCATATTTTCTAATAATTTGAAACCTTTGTTTTTTGTAGGAATTGGTCTAAAATAAATAAAATAAATTACTATTGATGTTTCGAAAATATAAAATATTTAAAATAATTAAAGAATAAATAATTTTGTCTGAATTTATGATTGAAATAGAATTTAATAGTTGAAAATGAATTGTGAAATATATTCTGTACGCTTAAGCAATATTTTTCTTTTGCATATTAGTTTTTTCTTATCAAAAATTTCACAATTTCACTAACTAGATTAAAAAATGTTAAAACTTTGAATTTTTCAGAAATATTAACAATAAAATATTAAATAACCAAAGTAGAATTTATTCAATAAACTTTGAAAATTATAAAAACTCACTGTGTTACACAAGCTACTTCGGTTTTCTCATTTGCATTTTGAGATCCAACTGTTTTTCTTCTTTTATCAGCTCTATCTTTATATCCCTTTGGTAATACAGCATCTGGTGGTTCACAGCCAAGCAATCCATACTTTTCTTTTAAACTTTTTAATTCATCATCATATTTACGTTTTGGAGGTACAACATTTTTAACACCTTAAAATAATATTTAAATTGTTATTAACCATTAATTTTATGATACTTATATTTTTAATTTTACAAATAAAATTATTAAATAATCATACATACCTAATATAAACATCAATTGTATATTGACTTTTTAGTAGGTATAAAATAAATACATATTTATGTGAGCTTTAAAAATAATATAGCAATCACAAATTTTCTCTAATGAATACATTTAATGTTAACAGATTACCTACATTAATTTAGGTAATTAATTTAAATGACAATACAACACATTTTTTAATTGAAGTTATCAATTAAATGTAAATAAGATTCTCAAAATTGGTTCTGTTTGAGTAAAAAACGCAGTTTACTGGATATCAGTAAAAGTAATTCGAACCCAACCATAATAATAAAACCATATTCACTTAGTTAGTTTCCCATTTTAAAAAATACTGAAATTATTTGTTCTATAAAAACAATTAATTTGCAACTATCTAAAAGCAATAATATAAAATTAAATAAAATGTATACTTACTTTCTTCTGGTGGAGGAGCTTGTATACCAGGTTCACACAAATTACATGTTTCCATCCCATCATGAATATGACACAAAAATTTGGTGTCACCAACAGTTAGTTCACTGCCATGGACTAAATGACGAGGTTCACTTGAAGACGAGTGCTTTGTTAGTTTTTTACCATCCAAAAATGTGCCATTTGTACTACCTTTATCTTTAACAATATAATGACCTCTCCCAACTTTGTTTACATTACCAATAAACGATATTTCAGCATGTAACTAAAATTAAAAATAAATCTTTAATAATTATAAAACAAAATTCTTTATCTTCATATTATTATTATTTATTTAAAAAATGTGAAAAATAAATTAAGATTATTAACCTTGCTAACATTATCATCAGGTACTACTACATCTCTGTTTGTTGAACGCCCTATAGTTCCACCAGGACATGTAATTAAAAATAGCTTACCAACCAATGAATTACATGCTTTGGATTCTGTTATTATAATACGTATACATGGAGGCCATCCAACAACTTCTATAATTATTTAAACAAATATTTTAAATTAATACAAAGAATAAAAATATTTTCAATTACAGAAATATTATTCAATTTAGAACTAAAACATTATTATTTACTTGATTTAATCAATTTAGTTTGTGTATCAGAAAGGTGAGCTTTAACTTCTTTGTATGATTTCCAATTGGAATTTTTATCATCCCTCTTATTTTGACACAGGTATTGTTCAATTCGATCCCAAACTAGATTATCATACTGAATAATTTCTGATTCAATTGCAGTTAATTGATGCTTGACCGTGTACCAATTTCTTATTTGTGCATATTGTTTTGCTTTACTCTGCAAATTACGTAAGTTAGTTGTTGTGCCAATTTTTCAAATGGCTTACCGGTATGGTTTACCCCATCAGGTGTTAATTTGTGAACTATGTTCTTAGGCGCTGGCAATAACTTTGTATATTGCAACAAATTCAAATAACGCTTGTCTAAAATCTGAAATTATAAGAATAAACATAACTTTAATCAATTTCTAACATAAATAAATAATTACTTCACAAGTAGAAGGTGGACAAAGACAATCTTCGGATTTGAGTTCTTCCTTATCATCCTTAATGGCCTTGTTTTCAACACTTAATTCTTCTTTCACTTCCTGACATTCATTAGGTTTCTTTTCAATAGTTTTTGTAATAGTATCTTTAATTTCTTTTTCATTAGCTTCAGTATCTTCTTCTGTGTCTTCTTTAATAATTAAATTACCACTGTCTTCAGAATTTTCTGAATCACTAACCTCACTAATACTTTCAGGTATGTCTTGGGTATGTTTTTGTTTCTTTACATTGAGCTCATTAGAAGGTAATTGAGGTGTATCTGAATGAACCTGGGAATGTAATCTATATTTCTGTGCTATTACATCAAAGTAATAATAACAACCTTGGTTTCCATCATAAAATAATCCATTATCCTGTAATTAAAAATACTCATATAAGGTTTTTTGGCTGTCATATAGTATGCGGTCTACCGGTGAATTTACGAGTATAGTATGCGGTCTACCTGATATTTGCGAATATAGTATGCGGTCTACCACAAATAAATAAAGTATCAATTATATCATAATATTATACTATAATTGTTGTCAAAAATGATGAATATTGTGCATTATTGTGCATTATCTTAAATAATTAAAAAAAATTAATAATTAAAAATTTGTTTGTCAAAAATATTGTTGTCAAAAAAAAAAAATATACAATAATAATAATAATTTAAAAAAAAACATATGTTGTTCATATTACAAAAACTTCAACCATATCTCTCAAAAATGCATTAAATAAATCCAATTTGTTTATTCCTCGCCACCATCTTTTTCACGCCGCTTTTGAAAACTACTGGGAAATTTTCATTTTTGAACCCCCAAAGTACCAACTAGATTCACTTTCCTATCAGAAAAGCTACTGTTGAAGAAAATTCAAGCACTTTTACTGTCCTAAAACGTGATGACAGACACAAAAAAAAAAAAAAACACACAACATTGTAAAATCAATACATTCATCGTTCCACTCAGAATCTAAAATAAACTTAGGCCTGTCTACAAACCGGCCGGTCGCAGGTAGACCGCATCCTTCAGCGGCCTGCTGGCCGGTAGAACATGTTTGATGGTAGACCGCATACTATATGACAGCCGGTTTTTTTATTTTATATATTGATATAAAACTAGATACATTTATTTTAAGTACATGTAGGATTACTGATCAGTGTATTTGAACTATATGCTCAATGTGTGCAATCCATCCCACATCCATAAATAAGCCACTAATAGGTAATAAAAAACTCTCATAATCTCATGCACTTTTAATTTTTGTATAAATATTTAAAATGTAAATAACTATTTATTCAATTTTTTTCAAAATTAAAGTTCAGTTAAATAACTTTTAACTAAGTTACAGAGAAAGACGCATTATTTTTGAAGTAACTTTTAACTCAAAGATATATTTGTCTAGGGCAGAGACTTGTTTCAAAAAGAAAATTGATACTCATACATAGTTGATAGTACTAAAGTAGCTAGGTATATGATCTTAAATATATCTATTCTATACCTATTTATAATGAGATTTTTACTCGGCGGCAACCAGTTTTCGTCGGGCGGCGGTCAGCCATATGGTGAGATGCCGTCCACACTACGGCTACGCGTCGGGTGCTGCCACGGAACAAAGCCACGCCCATGTGCACAACTAGGCCGCCGAGTAATGATCTTATTGTGAATAGAGTATATAATTGTATAATATTTGCATATAATATTATAATATCCCAAACATTGATGGGAAAACAAATTAAACTTACTAAATTATAATAATAGCCAGTCACTTGGTCATAATACATTCCAGTAGTTTCTTCTAATATAAAACGGCTTTCTCCCAATCTATACTGATTGACTTGTTTTGAATCTTTAGATTTTTCTTCGTCTTCACTACATTCTCCTTCTTCTTTAATTTCAGATTCTGTTTTTTCTGGGTTAACAACTTCTAAATTTTCAGATTTCTTAACATATTCCAATTTTTCAATCTATAATTATAGTAATAATTAACTACTTTTTCTATAATAAATAACAATAACTAATGTATTGCAAGGATTTTTTTTTACACATTAACAACCTTACTCCACTAAATAAGTATAAAAAGCTACAGTATCTTCCTTTCAAAATATAATTTGAAAAAATTTTTAATATGATTTTACCTGCCATAAAATATACTTTTACAAAAAAAAATGTACCTTCTCGATTTTTAACAGTATCTATTAAGTAAATTATTAATTTTTTTTTTTATTTTATAATAATTAAATAGTTCACAAATTATAAATCCTATTTTATATATGATTTATAAAAATAATTAAATGATTAGTTAAGTTGTATTATAATTTATGTATTAAAAAAACAACAAATAACAAATTTAATAAACTTTTTATTGTACAGAGGAAGCCTATTGAGTTCTTCATTCTACTATTCAGTCTTAAAAATGAAAAAACAACATTATAAAGACATAGGTACCTAATAGAAATAAAAATTTATAATATAACAAATAACAATTCAAAAATTAACAATTTATTTAATTGTTTACTTTTTTATGTGTTCTAGATGCTCTCGGTTTTACATTTAATCTTCTGCATTATTTATTGATTTATTATTGATGATTCAATATAGGTTGACGTATTTCATGAATACCATGGTAGAAAAAATGTATTGCATTAATACTCTACAAATATGGTTCACAAAAATGTTATCATATATTTTGCTAACAATTTAAATTACTCTTTTAATGTTTTTTTTTTTTGTAGTTCTTATTGTTAAAATAAAAGAAATATAACCGAAATATATTGTTGTGTATGAAATATTCACTAACATCTAAATATGTATTTGTATTCTTTGTGCAAAATAAAATGTTGTATATTAGGTATAGATTTGCTGTAAAATGAAATCTTACCCAAATTATAATTGCATAGATTTTAGTAAAAGTAGGTAAATAAAAACATAAAAATCCTGTCTCTACTTATGAGATATGATTTGAAATAAGTTTGGACATGTTCCAAACAATTATATAATTGCCTTCAAAAATAAAATAATCATAAAAAAAAGGTTACGTAAAATAAAAATGATTTTAAATCATAACAGGAAAAGACTTCACCTAGTGTGGGACTAATATTGTAAGCCACAATAATCATTGGTGATACTATGCCAGTATGATGACTGTGACATCCTGTTGGTGATAAATTAAATGGTAGTGTAAAGCAAAACTGTCCATCAAACAGTGCATATATTATAAATGATTCATCAAATTAGAATTTCAATAGAACAAATTGTAGGAGTCAAAAGTACAAGCACTTTTATATTATTTTGACTAACTTAGGGTAAAACTATTTCTCTCTCTCGATAAGCATATTTTATACATAATACATTATCTTAGTTGCTATTAGAAATCAATAATATTTTCTTGCCCTAGGTATATTAATATTTATTTTATAGAAAACCATGTCTATTAGTGTTAAACTCAATTGTTCATGATAGGTGTAAATATTAATTCTGTAATTATTTCATTAACTTTTTTAAATGTTAACAAAAAATATACTTACACTATCTGCTACACCATCAGAATTTTTATTTGATTGATTTTTAACTTCTATTTCGTTTTTTTTAATGCTTTTGGTGTTGTTAACTATTTCAGCATTTTTGTCAGAGCCTTCGGTTTTAATGTTTGATTTCTGTTCGAAAAAAATTACAGTTGAATAATATGTAATACTGCCTGTATGCATGGTCGATTTATGTGTCACACTATGTCTTATGTAACACACAAATTGACTATGCATACAGACATGATTCAATATTACCTTGAAGTCGATCGGATTGCTGTTCTTTATCTTGGCCAACAAATTTTGTTGCCGCTGAAGCATTCGCACGGCATTTTTTAAATACTCGTACACTTCCGGATGTTTGTGTTCAAGAAGATCCTTAAACGGTACTTCCACATCGTCCATCACGATTCGGGCGATATCTATATAATGCCGGTAAATGGACCAGGGTGGGTCTAGTTGATATAATATTATTATGACGGACTCTAACGATTCACTATAAAGCCGGTAAATGGACCCAGGGTGGGTCGAGTTGATATAATATTATTATGACGGACTCTTGCGATTCACATATCAAACGGATCGCTCGGCAACGGCAACCTCCAGACAACTTCGATGTGAAATAATAGTGAAAGGGTTTTGCGAAATGCCGTTTTAAAAGTGTGCGATATTACTGTCAGTAGTTGATAAAAAAAAAAAAATTGAGTTTTCACAGTCAGAATGTAATATTTTACACTGTTTACATTTTACTTTTCACAATAAAATGAATTAACGAACACGGGAGCGAATAGAAAAATTGCTTCAAGCACAGACCAAAGCGCGGAGAAAAAGTCCATGCTCTTTGACTGTTTACATATTTTATACCAAATACGAATATTATTTATTATTCCGCGGCCCGACGTGGTGAGGAATCCGAATAACAGCTGACGTACAAACGTTTGGAACCCCTGTCTAAATTGTCCGATCCCGTTCAAAGGTATTTGATAAGAACACTATATTATATTTTTCATTTATATTATTTTGAATTTTCTGTGGTTTTTTTGACAAATACATTTCGATAATTTGTGCTCGCGTTGTTCAATAGTATTCGGAAATATGGTTGTAACCAACGACCACGAGTTGCCGACTTACGAAGAACTGACGGTGGAAGAAGTGCCCATCAGCTCGCCAGGTCTCCGTGCCGCTGCTCATCATATTGGTAATTTTAATTTTCTTCTTATTATTATTACAACTAAACCTATGTCTGTACGATTGTTGGGCGTGGATAATTGTATTTTGTGTGTATACCGTGTTTAGGAAAATATTGCTTGGATGTAAACGATGAGTTTATGATGTGCAAGCAAGAAACTAAAGATCCACGTAAATGCCTGAACGAGGGCAAGGCGGTCACTAGCTGTGCGCTTGAATTCTTTAGGAAGCTGAAAGGCAATTGCTTTGATGAGTTTCAAATTTATAGCAACTGTATCGACAAATCCAGTAGTCGCATGGATTTTGAACCATGTCGCAAGACACAAGCGGTGTACGACAAATGCGTGTTTGAAAAAATGGGCATTGAGAGACCTGAGCACGGGTTCTTTTGTAAAGCTCGCGTCTACACTGGAAATCGTCCTAAGCCTCCAGTTAAGGAACCACAAGTGTTTGGTGATCTGCCAGTTGGTCTCAAAGACTTTAAAGAAGAAGAACGGCCACCCGCAAAATACGGACAACGTAATTGGTTTATCAAGTAATCTATCTGTATGTTTAAAGATAACAGTTTAATATTATTACTTATTAGTGTTTGTAAAAAAAAAAAAAACCAGTTATTATTATGAGATCAGAAATTGTATATTCATTTAATTTTCTCGCTGTAGACAATTGAAAGTATAAATATTTTATAAAAAAAAATAAATAAATAAAGTATTTATTACATGATTTAGCAATATATATACGTAAAATGTTATGAAATAACCTGCTCACAAATATTGAACAAAACATTAAAAATTATATACAAGTTAAATACAAGTATAAATAATTGTACACAGAACAATGTTAACAAGTATTTTCTATAATGGTGTATTTGAAATATCTAAAAAGTCAAATGTCAATTCGACTGGTCTAACGGATCCAAAAAAGTCAGTGATTGGAACTTTTGCGAGGTCTCTGTGAAATAAGTCTATTCTGACCCCCACTGTTGAAATGCAATCTTGTTTAGGACAAACACCCAGCTGAAAAATAAAATAAACTATAGTTAGTACATATTAGTTATTAGTTATTACTAATATCATCAAAATGTCAAATATAATAAATAATAATTATACTTATAATTATATTATTATTATTATATTATTGAGAGTGAATATGCTCAATTTAAAAATAAGTAAGTATTATCAATTTAAATTTGTTGTAATAATATACAAATGTAAGAAGATAAACCATCAACTATTATTTATCAGATTCACTAATCCAATAATGCTTTTCAACTTATACACAAAAAAATTGATTCAAGCATAAAATATTGAATTCTGTGCAGTATGCACCACTAAAAAAAGTAATAAAGTATTTTAAATATACTACATAATATGTACAAAATATTAAATAACTTACAAAACTTTTCATGCTAATTCGACTTTTCAGTTTAACATTCTCTAAAAATTTCAAAGCATAAAATGTGTAACGATCAATTATGTACACTCCAATCGCTGGATCTACATGATGCTGTAATATAAAATATTTAAATTTTTTTAAATTGTTCAGTAATAAAATAGTATGCATAAACCTATTACCGAAAGAGAGTCTTCACCCACTAAACTACTAGCCATTGCAAGGATGTTAGGTGAATAAAATTTTTCATACATCGATGAAGCTTGACAAGTATCAATCATGAAAAATATTTCGTGGTATCTGAGAATAAATAACACACTATAAAGATATTGATTCATTTCGGTATACTTTTCAAGATTTGTTGGGCAACCATATTATCTTTAATCGTGATGATAATGAACATAGGAGTTTTTAATTACCTTCTTTTCTGCCACATCTGTTCAAGAGCGTCGGCTAACTCTTGGCTGGTAACTTCTTCAGAATCTTGGAACTTTAGAAATCCATCACCGCCATGGCCAGTGAGGTATATCAAGATGTTGCTACCTTCATCAGTAAGCAACTGTTTTGAACGAGGTGTATCAGGAGGTAATCGACCAGTCAATAAACGTACAAAGTTTTCAACTGTTACCTAAATATTAAAAAGTTAAAATTATTTACAAAAAATAAATATCTAAAAGTGAAAAAACATTTACCTCATAGCCTCTAAAATCGACTTCAACGTCGTCACCGTAGACATTGAGCTGTTGGTCAGCATTATTAAAGACAGTCGCAGGACTGGGATTGCGAGGGTTACAGGCCATGTCATCAGCAACCATTAATATTATCTGACTAAATGCAAAATACTATTAGAACCAAATTTGAATTTGTCATTAACACATCTCATACCTATCCGGTATACCAAGACGTTTGACACTTCTGTAAATGGACAAAACGTTTGCTACATGCCTATAATTGAACCAAAATCGTGACGTATCGACCAGAACTGCCCAATTATTCGAATGATTTGCCTATTACAAAAAAATAGGGTGTAACATTTCATACATGATTGTTGGTTTTTTTTTTATTTAGCGTGCTTACCTGACACACATTAATGTTCAAGAAATTCGCACAGACGAGGAATGATAGTAAAAAATATGATTTCATTTTGTGTATGAAATTTAAAAAACAACTGAACTGCGATTTACGAATAAACAATTTGTTTACTCCGGCGTTTTGTATTATACTTATTTGCCATTTATCATGTTAAGTTGAAAATCACTTATGTTATCCGGTTATCTACGCCGGTTATCTGATAACAGTTACTTGTCTTGTTTGTGTCAAGGTTGTTATATATATAATATTAAAATGTATATTATATTTATTATTGTCCACTTTGGTTTGTAAAAATGTAACACGGAAGCATAGACATAGACATAGGTATTATAAAATTTAATAATATACTCAAGACTCAAGACGCCATCCATGCATTTAAGAGGACGTTTCACCCGCATTTGTTGTCTCCGTCTTACACACGTTACACGTACGGCCTAGTAAAAACCGTTTTGCGCGAGAAAGAACCGTAAAGGCTAGTCGTAAGTCGTAACTAAGAAACGACATTTTCACCACATATAAAGGAGAACTTTGGCTGTGCAATACAGTTTTTATTATTTTGATATCACTTATACAAAAAAAGTTATTATTGTTTCAAAATCCATTATTATTTGTGTTTTTTTTCACCTGTATGATTAATAATTATTGTTTTTTTATATTTTTGTTCAACTACTACAACTGTCTACTACAAAATGTTTTCAGGGAAATTTTAACTCGTATATTTCTGAATGTGAATGGAATAAAAATTCTTAAACCTAACAAATACTAGTATTTACAATCAATAGGTATGGTCCTATAGTAATGACAATAGCCGGGTCCATTGGCCGGCTGAGCGGGTATCCTCTCCGCTTCATCCTGCAAACGTGTTCCTCGAGCCTGTACTTGGCTTCAGTCTAGTTAAGTTCATACGACCAATACCACTTCGGCCGCAGCTCAGGTCCTGGGCCATGACCTTGGCAATAAGTTCGTTTCGTCCACGAACTCACCCCACATACAAGCCTCGCCGCCCAAAAATAAACGGTTATCGCCATCCACTTCGGTCTGGTCGAACCTGTAGTATTTTGGTCAATCTGCTTCGTATTTGATGTAATTGATGTACCAGCAACTTTATAACAGCGCTCAATTTCCCGACTTCAATACCTGGAATCAGGGGAGGGCTATGAGTGATCGGGCACCCCCTGTCGTCTAAGGCACCCTAAGCCACTAATAAAATACATTTGTATTTAAAATTCTAAAATAGAAATGTGTAACCATTTAGTGTGTGCAGAATGGATGATGTATTTTTTATAAATTCTTAAATTTCTGTCATCACCGTATTTGGGGCAGTACACTGCTTCGATTTTTTTCAACAGTACCTATCTCGATCGATGGGAAAGTGAATATAGTTGGTTCATTCAGAAGGTCAATATTTAAAATTCCAATAGTTTTAAAAGCGCCTAGAATAACAAAATAAAAACTAAGGAAAAATGGGAATTTTTAAGCAAAATCAATTTTGGTTTTTGGTGTAACTCTAAAACAAAATATAACCGTAGATACATTAAATTTCCACTGAATGTTTATATTAGCATTAATTTCTGTACACGATAAAATTCACAAGATCAAAATATTTTGACTTGTTTTGAGCTGTTTACTGACATAATACATTTTCAGTTTTTTTTTAGTTTTTTTTCTATGATTGCCAATAAAATTGTATTTGTTGGGTAAAAAGGCTTGAAAATTTAATACAAGGCTCTTCATATATTTTTAAAATGAAATTTGAAAATATTAAATATACAGCCACATATTTTTCTTATATAAGCATTTAAAGTTCAAATTTTGACAAAATACGTAAAATTACGAAAATGTGAAAATTATTTTGAGTTAGGTTAGGTAGAAATACATAAAAATATTATTTTTAAATCTAACATTGGAAAAATTTATTACAAGATTCCTCATATGTATATCTACCTTTATCAAAAAAAAAATATCTACCGGAAACTCATATTCAATTTTTACATCATTGGATATTCTCTCGATTTCTCATGTAGGCATGTAGCGATTTTCTTATTTTGTTGTAGGTAATTACAATTGGGCGCATGCGTCATTTCGACACATACAATTTTAATGCCACCACTTTTAGGCCCAAGTCAATTTTAGACCCAAAACAAAAATAATAACAAATTGAAAATAAATACTAACTAACTTTAAGTGCTATTTATTTTACTATCTGGAATATTTAATTAATATAAAGTATTTTGGGAAGTATTTGGAATGCATAATATAAAGTATAAAATAAATCATAATAATATTAGTCAATTAGTTAATGTATGATATAAAGTATAATATGACCAGTGTAATGTATATTATTTATAAAGTAGGTATTAAAGTATAAAATAAAAAATAATTATTATTAATTTTACTATTTATAAAATTTTAAATTGTGTGTAATACCTTGTAGCACTTCGTCGGGTGTGAAATAACTTGAATTAGTACATATTTGAAATAATCTTTTTGATGAATCTGTGTACTTCTTTTTTTTGGTTGGCGCATAGTGCATCCCCAAAAATTAATTGTTCTTTAGTTACTTTTGTTAAGCTTTCATCCTTTTGCAATGCACTTAAGTAGGTAACTACCAGTAGAACAAAAAAATATATATATACTGTTATAATATGAAAAATAAATAAATACATAATATACTTTTATTATATTTTTATGGTTATAAATATTTTTGTGTAAAATAATATTTATTATTATACATCAATATTACATTAAGACAATTCATGAGAACTTAAATTGTTTTATATTATATTATTATAATTTTGGGTTAATTTTCTTAATTTTCGTTTGGGTTAATACTCAAAAAAAAACATGAAGAAATAATTTACCTGGTATTGTATGGGCTCGTCCTGGACGCTTTTTAATTTTATTGCATCTCCATATAATTTTTTCTTCACCTTCACGATCTTTTTTATGGATAAATTCCCCATAAACAAGGAGATCTTTTCCCCGTTGACTTTTTATAAATTCCAAAGGCATGTTTTTGGATAATTCTTTTTAAATTTGTTGTTACGTGAAAATCGTACGACTCACAGTGCGATATAAAACACACTAACTAACTAGGTATAATTCCGTAAACTGTAGGTAATAAAGATAATGATAAAATGTATAGGTACTAAGGTACCTACCATTTAGTAATTTAGATATATTATGTGACCATATATAGATTAACTATGATATTATATAGCCATACAGATACCAGGTTTTTACGTTGACATTGACTGATACGTATATTATATATATATTTTTGTTTTGAGTCAAAATTGACTTGCTCCTAAAAGTGGTGGCGTTAAAATTGTGTGTATCGAAATGACCGCGTTCATTTGACGTGCGTCGAAATTACCGCGTCAAAATGACGGGACATCCTAAAACTTTGTTCAATTCATTATTTAATATATTCAATGTATGGTTTACAAAATGTATCTTAACTTTTCCGTTGCCCGAAATAAAAATTCTGATTTGCAGCAGTATATTATCAGGTAGGCAATCAGGTAGATCAAGGACCGGCCCCTATGTCAGGGGTCTCCAACCTTTTCAAACAAGTGAGCTACATTTGAAATTTTTAGTCCCATGTGATCGACATCCAGGAGAATTTATGTTTTTAGGAAGAGATTTGTTTTATGAGCAAAAAAAAAAGGTCTAAGCTCCAAAGAATAAATATTTATTGTTTCTTCATGATAATTATAATAATAATGCAATATTTGCAATATTTTAATAATACACGAGAAAAAGTAAAAAAAAAACTGGAAACTTTAAATCGAAATCTGAATGTTTAGTTCTGTAATGCCTTTCTATGTTTCTACTTTCCATTAAAAGAGCATCCCGGCATAATAAACACACGCACTTGCCTTTAATGTCAACAAAAAATCTCAAACTCCCATTCCTGATTAAAATGATAAGTTTTAAACTTTCTATTTGCATTCATTTTATTTGTTGTAAATTCTAAATAAATTTGGAACGTAATAACGAAAATATACGGAACATAATATACGCGTTGCACACTTGCACGAGACGACTAATTGACAGTCGAGTTATAACTGACAATAATTCTGACTATTTATTGTAGCCAATGTCCCCTTAGTCCCAGAGGCATTTGTTTTCAATTGAAAAAAAAAATTCTGACTATTACGATTGACTGATAAATTCCTAGAAAGGTCGACTAGTTGATTTAACTCTAAAGCTATGTCCTAGCTGGTTTGCATGCATAGTATAAAAGTTATAACAAGTTTGTCGTATTCCACCTATGGTGGATTAATATAATTTCTAGCCATAGACATTACGATAAGTAAGTTGTGAACAAAGTATAATAATTAATAAAAAGGTAGGTCGTAGCTCAGAAATGCATAACTATATAACTTGACACCTAAAAATCAATTTTGTTTTTTGGTTTGTAGCTTATTACATCATACAATGAATTATAATTTATTTATAAATATGAAATAGGATCAATGATTATTGTAGTACCAACATTCTACTATATATATAGGTGTCAAGCACCTATACAACAAAAAATATGTATAAAATGAATGAGTTTAATTATTATTTTATTATAATAATATATGCTTCATTGTAATAACAATTTATTTTGTTACGCGTAGGTTGAAACTACACGATATAAATTAATCGATTTTAAGTAGGCCGTAGATCGTTTAATTTTCTTTTCATGTATTCTTCAAGCTGTGAGTAATCGACTAATGTATTTTGTATGAGTTCTTTCAGCACAATAGGCCATTCCTGTTCTAATAAAATCAGCTTTGCCATTGCTAGACACGTAGTGTTGATCAATGAATTGAAATGGACTAATCCTTTGTGTCTCCAGATACATTCATCCTAAAAAATACATACCTATTATTTTATTTGCAATTGTAAATTTAATTTAAAATATAATTGTTATGTGTACTTCATAAAATGTTAAGTCAAAAGCATTATCAACTTAGAGTAGTGGAGTACTATTGGTTGATCTCAAACTATAGATGCAAAGTAGGACGTAGAGACTAGGTACACAGAATTTTGCTTAA